TATTCTCCAATTAAAACTAGAATGTAGTTGACAAAAGAAATGATTATTCCTCTTCAGAACCTTAATAAAATCGTCTTAATGATATAATTTTTTACAAAATAATTCTTGTAAGAAAAATATTTCAAAGTAAATTCCTCAATTTTTTTTTTTTTTTTTTTTTTTTTTTTTTTAAATAATTTTTTAAGAGATGTGGAAAGAAAGGCATTCTTTCTAGACTATTAGCAAAAATAATAAAGAATATTATATTTCCCTTTATTTCTATATATAAGTACATATATATATATATATATATATATATATGCTAGGTAAATAAAGTAAAAGAATGAACTATAAGTTTCAACAAGTAAAATTTAGAATATAATTCTCTTAGTAGTTAAATACAACTTAAACTATATGTATTTGATGCATTACCAACATCAACCTTGTAGAGCCAAGTATAAGATTAGTCAGCAAAAAATTCATCATAAAACTACAATATTTGTATAATAATAATAATAATAATAAAATTTAAGCATTCTATAGAATTGTTCTAATCCTTTAAGGGTAATAAAAACTTCTAAACTTCTAAATATATACATAAAAATCTTACATTTCAAAAGTTAGAAAAAATCTTGATAAGTATTAAATGTAAATAGACTCATTGAACTTTACTATGGATAAAAGAAAAGGTGATGAATCTGTATGAGTATGTATTACCATAAAAATTACTCATTCCCACTTCAATGGAATGACTAACAAGAAGAACTTCGTACTTTGAAGCAGACACGGTGATAGGCCACTATTTTAAAACCTTACATAAGCTGAAATAAAAATATAAAAATAATGATAACTTCATATAATTAATTGACTTTGTGTGTAGAAAACCCAACCTCATCAATCACGCAAATAAATGAAATGATACCACCGTACATTCATCCTAATAGATGAATATCATCCATCCATACATCTAGTGGCGGTGGAGGAGGGAGGGAGGAGTCGGCGGGGCTTTTGGGTGTTGTCGATGAACCCTGCTTCTTTTTCTTCTTCTTCTTCTTCACCGACACCTCACCGAATGGAGAAAAAAACGAAGAAGAAGAAGAAGAAGAAGCTTTGGGGAAAGATACAACAAGGGGAAAGGGTTTAATAGCGAGGAAGAGCTGGGTTTCGCAGTATGTCATGGAAACGAAACAAGGGCGATGATCCCCGCTTTCCTGTCTCGAGCATGCATCGGATGACTTGGTGGAAGGAAGTCCATGGCAGTGGCTTTTAAGCTTCGGTGACACAGAGAACCCGAGTTGTTGTAGTTGTTGCAATCCGAAGCCGAGGCGGCTGACCACCATGTTCATCGACCAAGCCCACCTCACAGGGACTCGTAATTGCGGTCCGAGGAAAGATATCAGTATCAGCTCATCCATGGCTCTAATCAACTGGGCACGATCTCCTCATTGAGATCCGTGGCCTTTACTCATCAGGTTTAGAGGAGACAAACGATGCTAGTTCGTGATTAGATCGGCGACACGGCACACTCGATCCACGATGGAGTAACTAGTATCTGGATCGCACATGGAGAGAATACTACACAGTTTTACTGAACAATACAACACAATTCGCCAATTCAGAGTGGGACCCTGTGTGGAAGCGGCGAGGCGGACTTTCAGCAATGTCGATCGGGCTTCATCGATCGACTAGTGAAGAAAAACAAATAAATAAATAAACAAATTCCCCGATCATGACATTTCAAAGCAGAATGGGGTGGAATTTCTTCAATCTGCGCTTCAACTTCCGATGGATTTTTTATTTATTTTATTCAAGACGTTAATCTTCAAGACAAACTTCGGACCCATCGGCTAGAATTGACTGAGCATGTATGTGAATATGTGTGCGTGTGTGAGTGAAAGTTTTTATGTTTCAGTATAAATATGAGGAGGTTGTGGTGGATTCAACAAAGGAATTTGTTGAAGGGATTGTGTACTGTAGGAAGAGATTGAATGATACTTGAAAGCACTGACTAATATGTATGATTTTACAGTTATGTACAATTTATAAGTCTTCGATCTTGTTAATACATGGGTTGAAGAGAAACAATGAGAAGTGAAAAGCAAAATGTCTCACAAAACAGCGCAACACGTAGAATTTCCAAGTTGAGGTAGCTGAATCTTATTCGATGATTATTCTTCACTGATAGATTAAATTTCTAGAGAAGAATGGTTGTTTTTTTAGAGCACAGTTGAAGAGTTATTAAGGTTGCAAAACGTGTTTAAAAAGAAATTAGGAGCCTTGATGTTGAATTTTATCAAGGTTTTGTATGCACTAATTTCTATAAAGAAGTATAAGAAACTTGTCACAATCTAAACTGCTATTACAATCGTTTAATAAAAAGAGTATGTGATATTGTGTAACTACAAATAATAGGACTCTATAATATGATTTTGTGTGACATATCATAGTAAGCATGGACAACAAGCTATTAGTCTTCCAAATAAAATGTATTTAAAAGAAATTAAAATCATCCTTGGTCTTGTCAATTGTCCTCTTAAAACTTTTTTTGTGTTAAGTTTTTGCAATTTTTCTTATGTTATATCATGACTATGATTATTTGTACTGTGCAAACACAACCAATCTTTGATGTCACTTTCTGATTCTTTTATACAGAATTATCCTATTCCTTTTTTTATTATGTATTATGTGTTTAGCAATTAACAAGTTTCATTTCAAAAAAATAACAATAATAATAATTTTGAAACAAGTGTATGTGTGTGTATATATATATATATATATATATATTACGATATCTTTAGAAAAAAAAAAGGAAAAGAAAAGATAATTTTGATATCTAAACTTTTTAAACTATTTTAAAAACATAAATTAAATACTTGGTTTTTTGTTTAATGAACCCATATATCAATAATTGTATGTTTTTATCCTTTATTTATCTTCTTTCAAACCTATCTGTCTTGTTTCTCAATCCCATATTGCAAATGCAAAGTAACCAGTTCTTTTGTTGTATTGAGTACAAGTACATTTGGTAAATCTCAAATGGTAGTAAACTTTAAAAAGTTAAATTCCAAAGTATAGGGGATTTAGGTATATTCTGAATTAAAAAATAAGAATTAAATGGAAAAAAAAAGTAGTTAAATGAAATGTTCAACCACAAGGTTATGAAGATTCTATGCTAATGTTTTAGGTCTAGAAGTATTATTTTCATCTATGAAAATACTCATTAATTTAAACAAATTAAAGATTAAAACTGAAAAGTTGTTATTTTTAGATCAGGGTTTTGTGCACACATTGTTTGTAGTTGGAACTTGTCTCAAATGTGTCTGTATCATCCATTAGTGGTCAAATCATAGCAAGACATAGAATGAAGAGATAGCAACAAACACGCTCAACAAAGTTTTTAAAAGGGAGGGAAAACAAAACCAAATAAAAAATTGGCAAAGTCACATCAGTTGGTTAGTTAATAGATTATTCACAATATATAAGATTTTAAAATTGTTTTAAATAAAATAAAAATAATAAAACATATATCCATCCATCCATCAGAATGGTACCAAATGAATCCAAATGCACCATTCATGAAATCTCTCTCTCTCTCTCTCTTTCCATCCCCCACCCCAAATTATCCCAGGTGCCGTCCCAGGTGCCATTCCACGTGTACCACCTTCCCCACAAAGTCATTGTAAGGGAAAGAATTTGTTCCACACCAAACATCTCATTTATTTAATAGTTTCCAAATTATAACTATTAATTATAACATGTGCTTGGTGTGAAAAAAAATAAATTAAAAGAATTCAAAATTAAAAATTAAAATCGAAACTAAATTTTTTCAATATATATATATATATATATATATATGTATATATTGAAAAATATTTTGGAAATGGTCATGATCATGAGGGGGTGGGGGGTTTTAGAGTTTGGAGCAGATTACTTGAAAGTAATATAATGGATGTACACACTTGCCAGCAAATGGAATCCCTTCCTCAATGGATCTTTTGTTTTAAAATAAATTTTTAAAAAAATCAATAATAATAATAATAATAATAACAACAATAAATGGGTTCTGTTACTTGACATTATTGACCACATCTAATGGCCATGCCTTGTAGTACATAATGAATGCTGACTGGACCAAAATCCCCCATTTGTGAGTTTATACGAGAACAAAATTGAACAGAGAGAACATACATCTATCAATCATGTATGTATCATATATATTTATATATATGTGTGTGTGTATGTGTATTTCATGGGAAAAAACAAGAGGTTTTGCTATAAAAAGCATGACACAACTAAAACTTTTTTGGGGAGGACTAAAGGGGCACTTCTATGTACAAATCCATGGGTCATGCAAAAAGATTGTAAATAATTAGAATAAGAATCAGACGTACATCAATGTACAAGGATGATTGTGAGATGATCAAAATGAAGAACCAATAAACATATTACTAATCACTCCAAATAATTAAAAAAATCTAGAGAAAAAGAAAAGATAAAAGATAAAAGCAATGAGTTTGAAGATGACTTTTTATTTTACCTTTTCTTTTCTTGTATTTATCAATTATATTTGTAGTTCTAGAAGGTTGTTGAATTTTTTTTTTTTTTTTTTGAAAGAGGATTAAAACACAATTTTTTGAAAGCACATACCAAGGTTTACACAAAATAAGAATATGTATTTTGTACATATTCTTCTACTAGAAACAATCCACACGACACAATTATATGTAAAGGGACAGAGAAAAAGGAGTGAAAAGCCGGGCAGCAATGGCGGGCAGGGTGAGTGGGCAGCGCGGGCAGGGCACCGGGTGTGGACGGGTGGAAGGACGCGTGGGAAGTAGCAGACCCCCTGCCACGTAGACCAGGAGAAGAAAGAATAAGAAATAGAAGAAAAAGAAAAAGAAAAGAAACGGAAAGAGAAGGAAGGGGGCGAGGGACGGAAGCGAGGAGCGTTCGCCGACGTCGCGTTTTTCCCTTCCCCTTCGTTCGTCGTCCATCCGCCATGGAATTGGAGCAGCAGGAGCAGGAGTAGAGATGGACGCAGAAGAGCCTGTTGCTGCTGCTGCTGCTACAAAACCAGTGCCCCTGCGGAGAGTGGATCTGTCTGCATGTCCGGACCCAGGAAGAAGTAGCACTGACTTCCTTGCCGATGCTGATGCCGATTCTTCTTCTTCTTCTTCGTGATGACTCCACTCTTCTCTTTTCTTATCTGCTCTTGTTTTCTTCTCTTCCTGCGTCTCGATCGAACCTGCATCCCGGAATGAATGCGATTGAGTTGAGCACGAGAGAGGGGACTGATTTATGACAGGGTAGTGGTGATCACGTCTCGATCGTTGCAGGCAGAGCTGGAGCTTGTGGGGGGAGGAGCAGCAGTACTGTGGTGGAGTGTGCTGTTGACGACGACTTGGGGTGAAGTGCGGATTTAAACTGAGGGGTGGTTTTTGATTGAGGGCCCGATGGTGAGGGGTGGGTGATTGAAGCAAGAGAGGAGGGGGTGGGGGGTAGCAAGCTTGGATCCTAACGTCGGGGCCGTTGCAGCTGTCGATGATCTTGGAGCCGAGAACTCGACGTGTACTGGGATGGATTCTGAGTAAGCGTAGAAGCTTTTTGGCAGCCTGTGGTGGTGGCCCCGTGAGGGAGAGAGAGTGTGTGAGAGAGAGAGTGTGAGAGAGAGCGAGCGAGAGGGACAGGCAGACAGGAATGGGTTTCAATCACCCCCAGTCACCAATGTGTGCGGACTGATTCATGGTCTCTACACACCGACATTCACAGCATCTAGCCCGCCCCCGCCCATGCCGCGGATTGTATATGTTTCCAGCCTACGGATTAGATTTCGTGATCATGTGTGATCTCTCGAGCGCATCCACGCCGTGTAGGTCTCGTCAGGCTTGTGGGGTCCGTGCAACTGGAAGCTGGCTACACTGTGAAGGCTGAGGCCCTGAACCGTGTTCTTCGATCACAAGCTGGGTTCGGTTTCCTTTGGGTGTTAGCGGCTTCCTTGAAGTCAATTGTGAAAGTGGTCCGCATTTTTCTGTTAGATATCAGCTTAATTGTTCCGGAGGTGGTTCCGTGATTAACTGTGAAATACAGTAGAGTCATAGTCGCTCTTGGACCGACGCAGGTTCGGCTTGGCTTGTTTGTTTTCACAGGGAAGAATAACCTAGCTAGCGTTCGGTGGTCATCCGTGGAGCTCCTCCGGGGAAGAGAAATCTGCAAGTCAGGGTCGCGAGAATCGAGTGTCGTACCATGGATTCCGAGGTTTGTGCTCGAGTTTCCGAGAGCACCCACATTGTCGATTTTGTGACCAACTAACGATTCACCGCATGGCACACTGGTGTTAGGCATCATGGATTCGAGACAGGGATTGTCGACCATGAACCCCATGCTGCTCCAACACGCCTTGCGCAGCTTGTGTACCGACCAGCGGTGGGTTTATGCTGTCTTCTGGCGCATCTTGCCCCGCAATTACCCCCCTCCCCAGTGCGTCTCTCCACTTCGACACCTTAGCATTTGCCTCAGCTGATGTCCTTCTCTCCCCTACCATCGCCTTAATTTCTCTGCCTAGCGTACATTGGATGCAGTCAACTTTTGGTCAAAGCCCCTTCTTTTCCTGTTCACTGTGACGAAGTGGTGTCTTTGCTAAACGCCTTAAATTTGCTTCCATAGAATAAGCCCGGCCTTGCATAGAAAAGTTGGTAGCCAAAAGCTGATTGATTTCAGCAGCTTACTCGTATCAGGTTAACACAGTAAAGAGGAGTCGTAATTCACTACGCTGGTCTGGTCAAGCCATGCCAGGAATCGTATATTAGGCTCCCATTCAGAGGCTCCAGTTAAATACCTTTCACATGGCAATTATGAAGTATCAAAGCTTCCATGCTTGCTATTTGGGTTCTAATTATTGATCGCAAATGGGAATGCCGTCGCAGATGGGACACCCAAGCCGGCATCATGGACAGATCCAAGACTAACAAACGCAACTGGTACCCATCCTGAACCCATCGTACTTGTTGCTTGAGCACCTGGGTGGAAAATTAGTCAAGTAGACTCAATTGATTCACTGAAAAAAAGCCTGCGAATTCGCTGATTGTGTGCAGGATCCTGGTTTGGGAGGATGGGTTCTGCAACTTCCCGGCGTGCAGCACTGCGGGGACAGCCAATGAGGGATTACGAGGCAGCTCCTCCTCCTTCCTGTCAACGCGACAATTACCTCGCGGCAACGACGCCGACAGGCCGGACACCATGAATCCGGAGCTCTTCTTCAAAATGTCGCACGAAGTCTACAACTACGGAGAAGGCTTGATGGGGAAGGTAGCCGTAGACAATAGCCACAAATGGGTGTACCGAGAGCCCCTTGAGAACGAGATGTGCTTCCTTTCTCCTTGGCAAGGCTCCCTGGATCCTGTAAGTCCCCCTTTACTCCCACTTTCAAGGCGTAATTGGCATAGCCGTTCATGAAAAAAATTCTCGAGTCCTTGGGTACTTGATTCACCTCATTTAAAACGGTGATTGACTGGGACACTGATGGTGTGACAGCATCCGCGTACCTGGGACGCACAATTCAAGTCAGGAATTCAGACAATTGCAGTGGTGGCAGTGCAGGAGGGCGTGCTTCAACTAGGTTCTACCCAAAAGGTACATGCACTACCTCATTGCCATACTTCTCATGTTTTCATGATGTTGCCGCGTTGTCGAAGCAGCCACTCAAAGCCATATGCAATCCCCTTCCCCACTCTCTGTACTGAATGGATTGTCTACGAACTGGGGCAGATCGTGGAAGATCTGATCTTCGTCTTGTACATGCAACGGAAGTTCAACCCATTGCACACCGTCCCCAGCCTGTTTGTGCCCTCGCAGCCTGCATCCACGGCAGCAGGAGAGGGCAAGAGACGGACCAACGAGTTATCGTCAGCAATATGCTCTAACGGTGGATACCACCACGGCCAGTGGAGCATGCCAGAGTATGAGAGAGCACTCCCAATGCCAAAAGGCCATGTGAACGGAGCGCAGTTTCTGACTCCTCGAGAGCCATGGCGCAACAGCGCCGCCGGCACGAAGCGACCTTCAGAGGCGGAGCCGTGTGCATACACGAGCGGCAGCTTCGATCCGAGTCGGCCGGAATGCCCATCTCTCCCAAAAGCTCTAAACACGGGACACGCGAGCCCTCAAGGTTCCACACCCCAATCCATACCACCAGCGTTCCGCCCTTCCATGTCGAGCCTTCAAGCATTGCTGTCTAAGCTTCCGAGCGTGATGTGTCTAGAAGCGGTGGCCTCCACAGGATTGCACCCGGGCAATGGCTTTGCGGTGGCGAATTTTACCACCAATCGATCCCCATTTCCACTTCCAGGTCCGGTGGCATCATCATCCAATGGTCATGATCTGCCTGCTAGTGTGGCAAGGTCTCAGAACGCGTCGCAGTTCTTAGAATCGTTCGATCACCTCGGGGAGTTCGGGATCCAGGAAGCGCTGGAGAACAGCGACTCCAGCTACAACTCATTCCTCAATGAGATTTGCAGCTGATGAAACTTGAGGCAGCCAGCACTGTACAATCTGCCTAGGGTAAAATAATCTCCCAGCGACGCACTTTCATTCAACTTGGCCGCGCTTTGGTGATGCGCACACACTCTCGACGAGCTATCTGAGTTTAAGATGTACAAAAATAACACTGCTAGCCAGCTCTTAGCATGGTAGCCAGGATCAACATAACTGTAACGATGTTGAAGTTAGTTCTCCCCACCACCCCCTCCAACAGAACTAGCAACTGTAAGATGGTGCTCATATCGTAGCCTGGACGTAGAATTGGGATTCGTTGTACAGCTTTAGATTGAATATGACCGCGTTGAGTTTATAACCAGTGAATGAATAACTAGGACCAGCTGTGATTTTGTTAGCGTGTTGCGTGCCTGTCAAAAAAAGCCTGGGCTTCAAATTGAGTATAATATGGTCTTTCTGAGCCGAAGGTGTTGAGTAAAGAGCCTGTTTTAGTTAAATAGCCTTTAATGCAGTTTCTCCACACGAAAAATTACATGCACAAATTGTTAGCAGTCTATCCGATGATTGCATGGAGTCACTACAAGTTAGAAAGTGCTTGTCGCTTCCTCCTGTCGATCTGAACTCTGCACCGGAGATTTATTCTAAGCAGTCACCGCTATGTAACACAAACGACAGGACGCAGAGAATCAATCAACAGAGAATGAAGAACTGGTTTACAAGTGGTGGCCAGTGCCCAAGGACAAGACCACCACCACCACCTCGTCCAGACTCGTCACTCGTACACTGGCACTGGCTCGCGGCGACTTCCTGTCTCCCCTTTGCTTGCAACAACATCATCAACAAATCCCAAGCTTCAGCCCCAATGGCTCTCAACTTAGTGGTGGGATCTGTAGCTGGGCAACAACAACACTGCTCCGCAACACATGAAGCCGCCTGACATCGCACATATTCTCGAGCTGGGTTCGTCACAATCATATTTGGACGCGATGATATTATGATCTGCAATTTAAGCTCACAAGCGGAGCTTATCGTCTGGTTTTTTAGATGATTTTCAACATCGATCAGAGAAAGTGTAGCCGCTCCCATAACTATGTCTTTCTCTTTTGATGGAAGGAGTCGATTCAGTGCCTCCAACTGTTTCGCCTTTGCGTACTGAGATAATATTGAGCATCGATGTTCCTGTGGATTTTTTCTCCTTTTTTGCAATGACGAGTTTAATATCATGCACATAAATTGCAGTTTCAGTAGTGAATCAGCAAAAGAACAATGCCCGATCCGTAGAAATTCGAGACGCTTTTGAAACGTCTCCGAAAGCGTGGTCTAAGAGAGGGCTCCTCCTGACAATGTTCCGACCATCAATCAATATATTTAGTTATTTAGCTTATTTATTTATGTTACAATGGAAATGGTTTTCAGCACACAGAATGCAGTCAAACTGAAAGCAAAAATGAACCATTTGCCATTCCTTTTCTGTTAATCTGAACTCTCAAGGAATCTAAACACTGTTCTGTGTTCTATAAGAGAAAAAAAGTTGATGTCATCGTAAGACTAGTTCACAAAAGGCTTCCATGACCAAAAAACCCAACATTGATCAACCCTAAAACTATCCTCACTTCTTTAATTATCAACTCATTCACACATGCTGGATGAAGTAGAATTGTCCACATTCTCTTACATCACAAAGGAGTCCCCATAGACCCCAACAATGCTTGGGTCAAACCCAAAGACAAAGACAAATGTTTACACTGAAGAGCACTTAATAAATTCAATAAGTGCATGATGATTCAATTGGTATTTAAGAGCTGTGATAAAGAATATATATAATAGAATTATAATAATGGTGAAAGGTTCTGATGGTTCCCAGTGCTGATCATTCAATGCAACAAAAAGGGTCCAAGGGGGAGGGGGGTGATCATGTTTGTTTGGTTTTTTGTTTGTTTTTCTATGTGTTCTTTTTTGTGCCTTTGGTTTGCTAAGTTAACGCTTGTTTCACTTCATGGCCTGCTCTTATTCTGTACCTCCAGCCACCATCAGTTTCTTCTTCTGCTATTCCTCTACGTCTCAAAATTCCTTGATTTTTGTGAGCGGCACTACACGATGTTTCACCAATTATTTCATTTCAGTTTTGATTTCATCTTTTATTTCATTTTTTTGTTTACTGTAATTACCTTTAACCAATTCAAAATCAATTAAGAAAAAATGCTTGTCTCTTTGCAGGTAGAAGACTTATACTACTCTCTTGTTTCTCATCACCACTGCCTTGTTTGAATGGTGATTTGTATTGATATCTCCACATGAGATTTGTTATTTTCTTTTTACTGTATTCAGATATTATTGCCACAAATAATATTTTTTGTTCATTCTCATTCATTGCAGCATGTGGTACTTTTCAGGTGCCACTTTGAGATTCCCCTAATTTTTTGGGGGTTTAATAAACATTTTCTCATGAAGAGGTGCACACCAAGTGATCGATTGTTGGAACTAATTACAAATGTGGATGCAAAGAACATGTACAATTTGTGCTGTACTGAAGTGTCCATTTGTGTTATGGATAAAATCCTAACTAAGCCCTTTGAGAGAACACAAGGTCAAACTCCTAACGACATAACACAATACACAATATTAATATTGAAAGAGTTTTAAATAAAAAAGACAAAAAGAAAAGAAAAAAGAGTGGTTGTTTTCTTAATAAGTTATTAAAAGAAATCATATTTTGGTTGTAGGATACTACTTCAAAATCAAGGAAAAAATTATTAAATAAATAGATAATAAATTCTAAACTAGATAAGTCCAATTATGAATTTTGCTACAATATAATAACATCTATGTGTGTGTGTGTGTATATATATATATATATATATATATATAATTTTTTATCTATTTAAATAGTAAAAATATTTTTTAAATTATGTATTTCAAATTCCAACAATTATTTTATAACATGCAAAATTGATTTTTTTTTAATTTTAAATTTAAAATCTTTTGTATTGTATATTATACATTTGAACTTTTTATATGATTTTTGTACAATAAATCTAGATTATGTATGTATATGTATAAATATATAGAGAAATATTAGAAATATTGAGATCTTTACTTGACTATGTATTTATTTTGTATTTTACAAAACCTTTTAATTCAAAAGAGATGCATATTAATGCTCAACTTACTTGATCCTCAAACATTGAGTCAAGCAATTGGCTTTGTTGTGAAGTGCGATAATCATCTTTTTGAATTTTGATCTAAGAATCGTACAAGTCGACCTCAACATTACTATAATTCAATGGCAACACCAACATCTCTTCAACACATACATTCGGAAGTAGAAGATATGTAAATTAATGCAGTACATTTCAAACCTCTTACTGAGCAAGAAAAGACTTGTTGTCATCAATAAGGATTGTGCTTATATTGTGGAGAACCTAAGCACTATGCTCAGCATTGCTCAAAGAAGCAACCCAACCATAAAATGAGGAGTACGGCTATCAAAGAAGATAGTATATCAAAAAACGAGTTTCTCTAGCTACAATAGGAACCATGCAGTTGAAACCTTATATAACACCTAATAAAGGTCTTATTCTCTCCTCAGAACCTTCTCCTTGTTATACGATAAATGTTATTTTAGGACCTAAATATCACAAAGCCTTTGTCTTGTTAGATTCAAGAGCCTCAACATGTTTCTTAGAAGAAGAATTTGGTAAAAGACATAGCATACTTTTAATGAAGAAAACTAAACCTATTCATGTAGAAGTCATAAATGGTCGTCTGTTGTCTTTAGGAGATATTACTCATGAAACTCTTCCTATAAAAGTAACAACTAATGGTCATATTAGCTTTATAATATTTAATATCATTAAATCTCCCTCTAATCTAATTATTTTAGGTTTATCATGGCTAAAAAAATATAACCCTAAAATAGATTGGACTTCTTGTAGTCTTGATTTTTCTGAAAGTATAACTAAGAGCATAGTTAATCAAGTAGAAAGTCATAAGTCTAGTACAATTAAACTTATATTTGTAGGTACAAGAGCTTTCTTGCATGCTGCAAAAGAAGGATCACCTTGTGTCATTTTTGCCACACGTGTTTCTACTGGTGGAAAGACTTCAAGTCACATTTTAAGCCAATATCAAGATTTTTAAGATGTATTTGAAAAGAAAAATGTAGATACTCTTTTGGAACATTGTTCTTATGACTACTCAATTAACCTTCAACAATGAGCACAACCACCATTTGGACCAATCTACAGTTTATTACAAAATGAATTGGCTGAACTCAAGGAATATATTGAAGAAAATCTGGCCAAGAACTTCATATGCCTTTCCAAATCTCCAATAGAAGCTCCAGTTTTATTTGTGAAGAAAAAAGATAAATCGTTGCGGATGTGTGTCGATTATCAAAGACTCAACAAAATCACCATCAAGAATAGGTACCCGCTACTTTTGATAGCTAAATTCCTTGATCAAGTGAATCAAGCTAAGATCTATACAAAAATAGATCTATGAGGAGCATATAATCTGATAAGCATCAAAAAAAGAGATGAATAGAAGACTGCGTTTCGAATAAGGTATGGACATTTTGAATACAATGTCATACTTTTTGAACTTACAAATGCACTAGCAACATTCCAAAATCTAATGAATGATGTCTTTTGGGAGTTTTTAGATGATTTTGTTTATTACCTAGACGACATCTTAATCTATTCTAAGAACACAAAGCAACATGAACTTCATGTTTGTTGTGTGTTATAAAAACTAAAAGATGCGAGACTCTTTGCGAAGATAGAAAAGTGTGTATTTCAAACTACTCAAGTCGACTTCTTAGGATACATCATTTCAAATGATGGATTTATGATGGATCCTAAGAAAATTCAAGCTATTATGGATTAAAAGATCGCAGAAACTATAAGAGATGTTTAATGCTTTTTGGAATTTGCCAACTACTATCGAATCTTCATCAAAGACTTCTTTCAAGTTGCAGCTTCACATACACGTTTGACTTGTAAAGACAAACTTCAATGGAATCAAGAAGTGAAAGTAGCATTTGAAGCTTTGAAAAAAACCTTTGTTTCTACATCAATCTTGTATTGCGTCAATTTTTCTAAGCTTTTTTTTATGGAAATAGACGCATCATACTTTGCTTTGGATGTGGTACTGTCAGAAATGGAAACAGATGCTAAACTTCACCGAATAGCTTTTCATTCCAGAAAATTTTTAGTAGTCAAGATCAACTACGAGATCTATGACAAAGAACTTCTTGCAATTGTGGATTTGTTTCAATAATAGTACCATTATCTAGAAGGTGCTCCTAATCCAATTATTATGTATACAAATCACAAGAACCTTGAATATTTTATATCAACATGTATTTTGAATTGTCACCAAATCTATTGGAGTATGTCTTTGTCAAGATTCGAATTCAAGATTACTTATTGATAAAAAAAAACAACAAGATTTATCAGATGCACTCTCTAGACGATCTTACCTTGTAGCAAAGGAA